AAAAAAAGCACTACAAAAACCCCTCAAATCTTATCTGATTTTCCTTTATCTGACTAGAGCAGAACATACCAAAAATACAGGTGCCACATGAAACCCTACTTCCAAGGGAGTTTCCTGGGAATTCAGCAGCCATGGAGACTGTCCATTACCAAGAGAATCAAAAAGTTCAATAGAGTTTTCCATACCTTTCCAGTGAAGCCCTTTGTTAAATTGGTACATAAATTTTTACCTCTGGGTGTTCTGGGAATTATTAATTACTAAGCAATTACCACATGCATGTGTAACTGAACCTTGTCTTTTCTCATGTTTATCTATTGTTAGTTAATTCAAGGTCCCTGGACCATTCAAACCTAAGTAGGTAGAGGAAAAATTCCCCCCCAGTACTCTCTTTTAGGATTTTGCTTAATGAAAAGACTAATCAAAAGCAAAATTTTTCAAATTGCAACTGGTAACCATTAGTAGGTTGTCAAGTCAACACTGTAGACTTTACTACAGACTTTACTTAAAGAATCAGGAAGGAAAATACTAGATAAGACCCATTACATACAGTAAGGGCTTTTTTTTTTTTAACATGACACTGGATCACAAAGAATTGTTTTTTATTGTGTCTTGTGATCAGAAAAATCCGAGAAACTGCTCTAGATAGACTGGTTACAGGTCTAATCTATATATCTACCTCTTCTTTTCTCTTTTTTCCATGCTATACAAACAAGCCTGTTGAGAGAGGAATGCAAATCCCATCAATGACTAGTGTTTGGCTCTCCTAAGAAACTGTACATCTGGGATACTGCTGTATTGGGTGACCGTGGTAGACTGACGGTCCTTCCCTTTGGTAGCCACATATTTGAATCACCTAGGAGCTTTTGAAAACTAATATCCCAAACACACATGAAACCATTTTAATCAGAATCTCTAGTATGGTAGCTAGGCATTTGTGTTAGGCAAAACCAGGTTCTTATAATGACAACGTGATTTAAAGCTACTTAGGAGACCTGCCCTATTTCCCATGGTTCTCTTTGTTTCTAGCTGTCCTACCATGGCTTCTTTCCCATTGGACCTAAAGATTTTAATCTTCCTTCTTATGGTCCAGGTGAATCTCTCTCTTTCTCAATTGGATTTCCAAGGGAAAAGTTTCCTTCTGTTTATCTACCTGGGCCTTTACAAACCTGGCCTCTGCATTTCCTTTTTCCAAAGCTAATTCACCACAAAGGCCCCCTCATGTCAGGTAGCTAGGCTTTCCGATGCCTGGACCTGTCAATCATGGGTAAATGATTTACAGGCAGGGTCAATGGGTGCTGTGGGATTGACAGAAACTCCCAGGTCCTTCCAGTTCTCTAAGTCATCATCCAAGTGGTTCTAGTAATCCGAGGACAATCCTATTCAGAAGAGCCCTTGGAAAAAGCAGCACAGGCATGAAAAGGTAAAAGGAATCTTAGGTGACCTAAACTGGCCCCTAATAGATTTGGCAGGGATATCTACTGAGGTGGGCATTGCACACAGCAAAAACTCAAAAAATACTGACCCTGGTGTATAGGGGATAGGCTGAAGGTATTTTGCAGGTTTGTAAATATTTTTGTCAATCTGAAGGTAATTTGGTTTGGTTTTGCTTTTCTCCTAAATGGTAAGAGTTGGAAACCATAAGGTGACTGGAATATTATTGTTTGAGTGCAATAGATAGTTTGTATTTTGTACCAATATTTTATTTTCTTTATACAAAATACAAGTTTGTCTTTTATTACCAATATAAGCTATACTTATTTCGATTTTTTAGTACTTTTATTTTCATCAGTTTGAAAATTGGGGTTTTGCTCTTTTAGGCTTATGGCACCTTTCTGGTCCTCATACTTCCTCAATTCTGTTTCCTTGCTCTTTCAGCATTCTAAGACAGAGTTTATCTAATTTTGGCAAATTTTACTCAATCAAAATAAGTATTCTCTTATGTCTTCTCACCTCTGAGGACTGTTCTTTTCTTCTAAGCCTTGCATTAGTGAGGTGTGGTTTGTACCTGAAAGGTGAATTTCCCAGAGCTATTCATTCCTGGAGCCTAGAGTCTGGGGACCTGTAGAGGGAGCACCTAGGAGGTAGCCCTCACTATATTGAGAAAAACTATGAGAATTATGAGCCAAGAGGCTTTGGGTAGCTGTGGCCTCCCCATCATCTTTTGTTTCTATAGTTGGGTAAGGCACGAGAAAAGAAAGCTCTGAGAGTGACCTCCTCTTGTGGTTTTTGACCACTTACCTCTGGAAATATGATTCAGGTGAGCCAGAAGGCTCAGACTTTCTTTCCTGATATCTCTGTTTTCATTGTACAGCTGGGCAAGGGAGTCCAAGCTCTCCCTGTAGAAGTCAGAAGTATATCCTATTGCAGGAAATAATTAGCAGTTTAGGCAAGTTCCACACATTTGCTTAAGATAATGCTTTCTGCAATTCCTTTTCCCCTTCTGTCTCAGCCCAGGAGAAACCTCTGGGGACTCAAAGGTTGGAACTTCAGCATTATGGGGCAGATGCTTAATTTTCACCAGGCCCTGAACAAATGCCAGCTCATTCATTTGTATTATCACACCCAACAGCTGAAATTATGAAGGAGACTTTTCTCATTAAATAGTTGCTCCTTTGATATGGAAAGAGGCCCAGTCACTGTTCTGGCCCAGCCTGAGACTGGGAAATGATGGCCTCTGCGTGAGTGCAATGTAAGAGGAAGATGTGTGGAGAAGAACAACCTTGAGAACAATGAAGAGTAACCAAGACATTAGGGAGGGGGGTAAGGATGACAGCAGCAGAGACCCTCACTCTGCTGAATGAGGTGCTCAGCAACCTGGGTTCTACTGAATGACTGCACAAGAGGAGAAGAGCAGCAGAAAGTGTACAGCTTAGGAGTCACAAGAAGGCTTTTGGAGGTCAGATAACTCTTAAGATGGAGGGACAGTTCAGTCTTGGGGCAAACCTCTATCTGAGCCTATTTACTCATCTAAAAAGTAGGAATGTTAATACCTGCCCTATTCTCCCTAGTTGGGCCATTTGTAAGAAAAAGTGAAGTATAAAGCATGTCAAGTTCTTGAAATCTGTGAAGCCCTGCAACACATTACAAGTCCTTAGAAAGATACATATTGCCAGAAGCAGACAGACTTGGGCCTCCCCTACCGTTTCCTTGGTCAGAAATGCTGAGATGATGTTCCAGCTTTTCTTGAAGGCAGGCATTGATGAAAAGAATTTCCCTCAGGTGCTGGTACAGGTTCTGGATCTCATCTTCTGCAGCCATTCCACCAGGACAGGGAATGAGGTAGAAGATGGAGAATCCTTATCACTAATGGGGTGGCCAAGGGCCTCTCAGCAAGATCCCTGCCTTGCACCATTCTTCTGCCAACTTCCGCTTTCATCAGGAAATACCTGGGAACCTCCTGTAGGAGCCTGCAGGCCTTCAAACAAAGCATGACCCAGTGCTAAGCAAACTCCACAGGGCCACCTCCCATACAAGGATATGGGAAGTATAAAGGAGGTTGATATAAGGTGGTAAAATATGGAATCAGCCTTCAGAGTAGGGCTTATCTAGTACTGGGAAAGGTGTGGCCCCTCTTATATAAGACTTTTGGGTACTAAGGAATGTCTCTACTAAATATCTCTCCCACATGATTTGTGTCTGAACGTCATTAATAGAGGACAACCTCCCACTACATCTCAAAGTGAAATGGGAATGAGGAAGCCTTTGTAAGGGGATTGCCTGAGTAAGAAAAGGCACCCACCACTGGCAAAAAGACAAAGCCTGACATGGCTTATATCACTATTAAAAAACTCAGTTAACAGTGAGTGAATTAATATAGTCTCTTTCTCATGCCTACAAGAAGACATAAGACATATAGTTCTCTAATAATCCAAACTTTTATCCCCAAAGGAAAGTCAAATAGTCAAAAAAAAAAAAAAGGGGGGAGGAAATGAAGGTTGAGACTTTAATCTACACACACCCATGAGGCCGCTATCCCGAGGGGCTCTTACATGCTTGGAGGAGCTACACTGGCTAGGTGGGGCTTTTTTAGGAAAGGGGCATGCTTGTGGCATGGCTGCTAGACCCAGCCTTTTCTTCAGTAGATAGGCTGGCTGTTGGTTTTAGATTAGATTACAGTACTGAGACTAAACCCACAGACATCATTTAAAAATGGTGCTACACATAGGATGGGAACCCTGGCCACTTACCCAAGGGTTGCCAAGAGCTGAGCCTTGTCTTTAGGGAAACCACCTGATGCTCTGGTACTAAGATGGAACCTTATGAGGAAGCAAGCCATCTGAGGGGAGATGGGGACTGCAATCATGATAACCGCACCTCCAAAAATATGGGCAGCACTGCCAGTATTTCTCAGCTAGAAAAGCTTAAGGGACACTCTTCAGGAACTATAATCAGCAAGAACATTCCCAGAAAGGTAAGTTGCTTCGTCTTAGAGGAGGTCTGTTAGATTCTGTGCACATGCTGAAATAGTGGCACACAGTCCACCATCATCTCTCCATTCTCCAATCTGGCTTGCCTAGACTCCATTAGCTTGCAGATGCCAGTGGGGGACAGAGTGACTGAGATGAGGTGTGGACCACGAACAATGCAACAAATTACCTGACCCACCAAGGACCTGTATTTGAAACTTGGTCCGAGCTGCACGTCCAGCCTGATAGCTTTTTCAAGGTTAATCTTTAGGGCCTGCCTACTAGATGGTCTCACTCAGCCTAAACCAAGGTGGTAAACATGTAGAAACTATTGGAGCTTTATTCTCCAGTCTTGTGTTCCTTTATTCTCTTTATAATGGAAGTACTCACTGGTGACTTCCACAGCAGAGCTGGCTTCCTGCATGTCAAGCAGGAAGGAACTGCTGCGGGGAAGCTGGTGAGAGTCATGGCGACTGGAATGAGTCAAATACTGTTCATCTAGTGAGGCTTCCAGGGCTTCATTCACTTCTTCCTCCTGGAACCCCCTGCTGAGCCTGGGGAGGATGGCAGGGAGGTAAGACAGGAGATTAAACTGCGGCAACCTGGAACCACAGCTTCGCAGCTGGTCCCGTCTGAAGCTCCTGGAAGCCACACCAGAAAGCAAAGAGGCCATCTGGATGAGAGAGAAAGCATAGCAATCCACTTTGACGGGTTCATGAGCCTAGAACTGGGATAGAAGGGGGCAGCAGGTGCTCAGTGTACTGACCTCATAACATGTGGATGAGGAAGTAGACTCAACTATTCTAAAAGGCACTTATGACACACAGAGACCTAGAATATTGGTTTTAAAATGCTGCGGACAAATTTTGTTTACCATCGTAGGAAGTCGTCCACTGAATGCTGGCTCCTGAGACAATGTCTCACTTTGATTTTTTTTTTTTTTTTTTTTTTACCATACACGTTTTTAGAACACAGACACCAGGGATCTCTGGCTAGTTTATCTTTATGTCAGACTGACTTTAGCTAACTAAACTTGATGAATTACTAAGAAATGGTAACCAATACAAGAACTTACCATGAACAGACAACATTGTTTAAAAGGGCACATCATTGGGGCACCTGAGTGGCTCAGTTGGTTAAGTGTCTGATTTCAGCTCAGGTCATGATCTCACGGTGTGTGAGCCCGAGCCTCACGTCTGGCTCTGTGCTGACAGCTCAGAGTCTGGAGCCTGCTTTGGATTCTGTGTCTCCCTCTCTCTCTGCCCCTCCCCTGCTTTCACTCTTTCTCTCTCTCTCTCTCAAAAATAAACATTAAAAATAAATTAAAAAAATAAAAGGACACATCACTATATGATGAATGAATGAAATAGGTACAATTAGTGGTTTCGGTTTTTTTCCCCCAGATCTGGGACTTTGGCCTCTTGGTCACTTGCTTCTGGAATCTTCCCTATACTTCACCATTCCATTATCAGCCCTTTTGTCCTTCAGTTACCTGGGTGCCAGTGGCTCCTGTCTATCTTCATCGTTCTTATCATTGTGATTTTCTGAGAACCAAAAAACAGAAACAGCTAGTCAGAAATTGAGCAGATCCCATTTCACACATTACAAATATTAGGGCCTATATGATCAGGGACGTAATACTCTACATGTTTGTTTAGAATGCTCTGGCAGAGAAGGCTTAGGACTGTATCTTCAGAGAAGTAGCCTGGCAGGCTTTCTTGAGCAAACTGGACAGTAAGCCTTTGTAAGGGGATTTTGTAGAATGCTCTGGCAGAGAAGGCTTAGGACTGTATCCTGGTGTGGTGAATAATCACCATGGCATCTGCTACCAAGTCAAGGCAAAAAGTTTAAAATGTCTGCTGTTCACCAGTGCTTGGAATACTTGTTCAGTTGCCTTCTGGACTTCTCCAGTTGTAACCTTCATTTTTGCCCCATAGCAGATGGCTAAACTGCGGTTGTGTGTCCTATTAGGCTTTCATAAAGAACTCACTGCAGTCTCTAAGGAGCAAAAACTTCTGGAGAAACCACCTAACCCTTCCAACCCAATGACTGGAAAAAGGCACCTGTGCATGTCAGCGAGTGGAGAACATGAAGAGAAACTTCTCTTTTTTTCTTTTTCCTCTTTCCTGACCCGGCTTAGAGACCAGCCCAGTTGCAGAACTGCCTAAACCTTAAACCACAAAAGAGAATCTAGCTCTCTGATCAAAAGAACTAGGAAAACGGGATCTCTTGCCTGAAAAGTGTGAAAAGTGCCCCCTTTTATTTTCTATTTCTCAATTTTCTTGCCTCCTTGCTCTTAAAGTAGCCCCAGTCATTCAGAACTGCAATACAGTGAGGGGGCACCTGGGTGGCTCAGTCAGTTAAAGCATCTCTGACTCTTGACTTTGGCTCAGGGCATGATCTCATGGTTCGTGGGTTCCAG